CCCCAAAACCCCAAAACCCCAAAACCCCAAAACATTTAAAATCTAAAATTGCATTAATTATTTTTATGAAATAAATTTAACTTAATTATTTTGAGTTTTATCTCATGTTTAATCAAATTAATCCCTAAAAAAAGTTGTTTGCTGTGACTAAAACATAGTAGAAAAAGATAGTGCAGACTAAGTTATCGTATTAGTGGGTTAGACCTTCACAAATTCCTCCAAGTATAGTTGATAATAGTATCACCATAAACTAAAGAAAGGTTTATAAATGATTGAAAATACAATATCTAGATATCTGGGATAGATAATGTTAATAACCATAAGATAGGCTATAAAGGTTGAAAAGACAAAGTATTAAGTTCCTTAAGTTGTCTTTGAATTATTGTTTTTCCATTTAACCAAACCATATTTCTTTCCAAATACAGAAGCCTACAATATTATAAAAATATTCGAATATTTACAAAAACATCTCCTATTCCAAGATATATCAATCCTGATATTCCAAATAGTTAGAATTCCTTATTCTAAAAACCACCACCTAGGACAATAAATTGAACAGTTATTGGCAAAGCACACCTTTAACATATTGTAAAAATATAAAATATACCCCATCAGCAATAGAATGTGAGTTATTATTAATGAGTTAGGTTTTGCCTCTCGCTCGTCGCAATGATTTTTGAAAAAGCTATCAATATAAATCTTAACAAATGGCACTTATTCCCTTATGAAATATCTAGCAATTTCGATATATAGGAGTAATACAGTAACACAATTAAAAGCAAATACCATAAGTTTGCTCTATGTTTAGGGTTTAATTAATAAGAATAGATTACTCTAACAAGAATTCCAGGAAAGAACATTATAAGAGCCAAAACATGGAAAGACTTTCTTATAGTGTTCTTGTCTACAATCCCTTATTTCTATAGCCAAATAATAAGGAGTATTCCATTAATTAATATCACTCCCATGTATGCTATGATCATTAGGTTTTCATACTTGAAAAAAATCTCCTCCAAGCTATAAAATGTTATTATTAGAAATCCTTACAATGGCATTAAATGGCCTAATCCTTGAGCTTGTTATATCAACCCTAAGACTATTGCAACTGCAATTACAAAGGATTAGAAGGCATTAATGACCTTGTTCTTAATAACATAACTCCCAAGAGTAGCAATAATCCAAGTAAGATTGAACACTGCCCACTATAATTAAAACTTAATTAACACTTCTATTAGCGATATATGAACTTACAGGAGTAAATACAAGCGTGTTATGAGTGTTCTTGCCTACAAAGTACATTGAGATGTGCTATTTTTTTAGAGTCTCGATAAAGTAGCAGCAGTAGTAAGAGTTTAGAGAGGACAAGTTGAAGAGTTCTCCAAAAGTCAATCCCCCTGGAATATATTCAATGAATGTTTCTATTCCGAACATCATCAGCAAATTATGGTACAATTAGACTTGATTTCTGTAGAAGAAATAGGTAACTCCAATGTAAAATGTTTAAATGCTTCTGATTGGAAGTTTCATAGCCGAGTATTCACATTTAAAGTACTTGAGGATGTACGAAATGTAAATGAATAGTAGGTTTTAGAAGTAGTACCACTAATTAGTGTAGCCTGATAAAAGATATTGGAGCAGAATTGGAAAGATTGCTTCAACTAGACCTTGATATAGCGGTTGCCTAAAACTAATCTAATATTATCCTTTCAGATGAAAGAATCCAATTTCATTCTTAGGGTCCACTTTGTTCTCCTCTTCTCTTTCCCTTAATCTAGCCTACTACTATCTCCTTTTTTATATATGTTCGTTCATATTAGCTGAGAATTATTACTATTTTAATAAGATAGTTAATGAATTTGATTATTTCCACATATTTACGAACTTAAAATGTTTTTTTAGAACTTTATTAAAGGGGTTTTGGGGTTTTGGGGTTTTGGGG